GCTCTGCCATTGGTGATAGTTCTGGTCACGTGATTTAAGTTTAAGATTTTCTAAATTTTACATATATGAACTTTCGTATAATTTTAACACAGTTTTATATCAATTTCTCGAGACAGGAACATCAGATAAAACTTTCATGGGTCGCGATCAAGAGCTAAAGTGATTAGCTTTCATTTTTCCTTTACAGCCCCTTTAAGTCTTCTCCTTTAAAAATAGTCTTTCAATGGATTATTTCATAATTTACCGAAGAAATAATTAAGTTTACAGTCGCAGGGTACAGTCGTACCATGAATTTTAGGAAACAGGCAGTATTAATTCCGTAATGTCTCATCCTTTGTGGGTAACCCTGTATATAAGTTTTGGTATAACGTTGACCAGACACAGTTGTATATCACTTTTCTCGAGTCAGGAACATCAGATAGAACTCATACAGGTCGTATTTAACTCCTAAAAGGGTTTAAGTTTCAGCCTATAACCCCTTTCATTTTTCCTTAACAGTCTCTTTAAGCATATTATTTTTTAGGTTAAACCTTAAAAATGGAGGAGTACTGGAATTGTAGAAACTACACAGTGGAGAGTAAACTTGGTGAATATACAGGAGTCTTCATCATAATGGCAATCTTCTTAATCATCGGTACCTTCCTCTTCTGGGTTCTTCGCTGCTTCTTCAACAGTATTGAAGATCACAGGATGAACATCAACATCTTTCTCAACAAGAGGATAACACATATTATGATAGTTCACATCTACATATTGGTAAATATATGAATTGAATCAAATAAGTCTCCTTTAGATATATAGATTCTTAAATTATATTTTTATGATCATATTTAATCAATTAATATTATACCTGTCTTCGAAAAAAAAACTTTCAAAAATTATAAAATTTAAGGAAACGTTGAAAGTTGAGTTTAATTCATTGATAGTTTGATTATTTATAAATTTGATCATTCATAAATTTTACAAAAGAAGATTGCTAAAGAGATCAAATAGTTATAAACTATATTTTAGTGTCTAGCAACCATGTGGAGCAGTATCCAGGGACCAATACCACTAATCATCTGCAAGATTATCAAATACTCCAACATCATTTGTGTTTTCATCATCGGCAATCTATTCCTCTTCATCTCAACCTTCAGATTCTTCTTAATTTACCAGGTTCTATAAACATAAGCTTTAACTACAGTGGTCGGCGTTTATATCAATACAATGAATACAACTTTTTATTACTAATCCTTTAATCACTAACAAGCGTTTTTTTATTGCAAATTTACATGTTGTTATTGCCAATTAAAAACTACTTAAATGATAAGTACAGATGCCCTTCAGGTCGGTTTCCTTTCTTCGTTAACGATCGTAAAAGAAACGACGAGTTTTATAAAAACGATCGTTTTGAAAACGATCGCTCTAAAAACGATCATTTAAAAATTAATGAACTTATTAAAAAGACTATCTATTATAAAAACTTTTCATCTTCGTTTTCTTAACGAAACGATCGTTTTTCAAAAAAATGCAAACTTTAGCATCCCTGATTATAATATGAACAAAGACTTGCAACAGTAACAATACGATTGGACTGGAAAATAAAAAGCATATGAAATCGGTTTAATTTTTCTGCTAAATTTAGATATTACTGAAATCCAACTAGGTTGATTCATTGGCCTGCAGTAAAAATTGTATAGTTCTGTTCAGCCTAGCTACAGCCTATAGGGTGTCCCAATAAACACGGGAAATAAGACACGAATACAAAATCATCTTTGTTATGGTTTAGTACTGTACTATCTAATTTCACTGGTCAAAATAAAGTAGCGTCTGCTAGAGTTTAATTAATGTAAATGCTAAAAGACTGTAATGTTTTTTCTTAATCACGTTGTATCTGTTCTTTAATACACTACAGTAAAGAGGAACAACTGTACTGTGTTTGTAACAGGAATTTAAATTTGTACAACATTTACAATTACAACAACAACATTATGCAATCACAACATAAACAATGAATCTTAACTCTAGCCGACAAAACATCTAGAGCTTTCCTAATAGGCATACTCTTTAAATGGGACCAACTTGATATCTCCAGATGAGAAAGGGGGGTTCAATACCCTAGCCCGCCTAGCCTATTATTTATTTGAGTCTGCAAACATACTCGAGGTTCAATTCCCTTTTGGACTGGATCTGTATTGTCTGGCTTTATTCTTGGATTGCATTTGTTAGACATTATTTATCCAACTAGGAGCAATGAACTTATGCAATACTAATTACACATAGGGGACCCATTGGCTGGGTTCACACTATGTCTATTGTCTTATTTCCGTTCAGTGTCACCAACCGAGTGACTTGACTTCCATCTTGAAATAGTAAGCCATAGATACAGCACAACTAATAGTTTATCGGGAAAGGAATGATGTTCAGATTTGGGCTTGTAAAAACATTAAAGACCATTATGGATTTATAGTAAACCCTCCACTGTCCGTTGACCTTAATATTGTATCCAATTGTATGTGAATTTTGTAAAAACCCAAATGTTCTCATATTGCTATAATTTCTGAAAATTACTCTTTTCTTCAAATTTCGAGTTTCATTATTTATTTTGAATTTGAAGAAAAAAAAATCAATGTCCAATGGGGTGCTAAGATTTGGAATAAAAAAAAATTCTTGAAAAAATGTTTTTTTATTTTAAACTACCCTCACTACCACCGACTTGTTGAAACTTTTTTATGAACATTTATTCCAGAATTTTTTTTAAATTAAAAACTACCCTCACTATCACTGACTTTTCAAAATCTTAATTTCAACATTTATTATTTTTTTTTCAATTTCAAACTACCGTCACTTCCCAAGACAAAAAAGCTGAAGCAAGTCTTAAAGAAAAAAAAGAGGCAATTTAAAGATTTTTAAAGTTGAATTTCTTGCTAAATATTTTTTATAAGATTTTATAAAAAATTCTTATACTTTCATAAGAAAAGTATCTGCTAAATACCATACATATCTATGTTAATAAAAAAATTCACCTATTTTTCAGCAAAAAAGGCATTTTATACGTTCACAATTGAATATCATCCCACCATGAAATTATGGTATTGCATAATATTGTGAAGTACCCCACACCGAAGGGGTTTTTTTTTCGCAATATTTTGAAACGCTTCCGGTATATAAGAAGCCAAATTTGATCTTCATCATTCTAAGTTTCAAATCCGTTAAAGAATAACTATCTCCACCAGTATTTCAAACAATGGGTAACAATAAGTTCAACATTATATCTTGTATTCTAATTATATTGTAAATGTATCCCTATTTTCCTTCAGTATTGTACTTTTGAAACCACATTGTTAATTGTTTTAGAAAATAAATCCATATTTACAATTATCCCATTCTTCATTTTATGACTTAAAAAATTTACAACATCTCAAAGTGAAAATTTTACAAGTATTTTTGAATTAAAAAATTCACGAAAGCCCCCTTATTTCTAAGTTCATGTTAGTCTTTCATCAGTATAAGTCTTAACCTTTTAAGTCCTTCGCAACTTAGAATTATTATTATTTCTTTCATTTTATGACTTAAAAAATTTATAACATTTCAAGATAAAAATTTTACAAGTATTTTTTAATTAAAAAATTCACTAAAGCCACCTTATTTCTAAGTTCATGTTAGTCTTTCATCAGTATAAGTCTTAACCTTTTTAGTCCTTCGCAACTTAGAATTATTATTATTTCTTTCATTTTATGACTTAGAAAATTTACTAAAGGCCACTTATTTCTAAGTTTTTATTAGTCTTTCATCAGTATAAGTCTTAACCTTTTAGTCCTTCCAACTTAGAATAATTATTATAAAACTGAACCAAGGCTCGAACCTTTTAAATGTATAAGTAGAGAAATTCAATGAATAAAGTCCTGCGTGGGAAACTACGATCTAGGCGACGTTGAACCCAAACTTACGATTTTGGACAGTTTTTACGTATTTATGGAACATAACTGGTACTAATTTATAACCTCAATGCTCTTCTACGTTTTTGATTTGATTTTATGCACAAGTATTGCTGGAACATAGCTTGTTTTTTAAAAACTTTTAAATCTTCCAACATTTAAAACTATATTCTGTTAAGTTTTCTTTTAATAAATCTCATTAAATTTTCATCCCAAGAGTCTGATTTTTTGCCTTTTAAATTTTAACTTAGACATGTTTATCCTAGATGTTTCTTGAATCGTAATTTAAAGGATTTTTTTTGCATATCTAGATCAAGCGTTTCAGATTTATAGTTCAAAGATCGGAACCTGAGTGAACATTTTAGTTTCAAAATAAACAAAGTTTTTCGAAATTTCTCTAACTAGGCTGTCAGGGCGCTTTGCGGCAATCTTCTATTTCAATTTTTATTGTTGCTCAAACTCTTCGACAAAACAATAATATAATTTTGCGGGTTTAAATTATTTTGTTATTTTGCATTTATAAACCTTCCTTGGGGTCATGCGAGGTCTCAAACAAATTTGGGCCAAATCGGTTCAGCCGTTTATCGGTAAAAATTTAATATATATACAACAGTAGGTTTTTAAAACATCAATAAAATCTATAAAGAGTGTGTAATATTAAAATATAAGAAATAATTTTTTTCAAAATTTGATTTTTTTAATATTTTCACGGGCAACGCGGGGCATTGTAGCTAATATTTATCTTAACATTAAATAAACTTTAAATCTGATTTTTTGAAAAAAAATATTTAGAAAATTAAAAATATTAGTTTTCCACGTTTAAGAAAAGGATTTAAAAAAGTAAAGTTAAGAGTAAAATTTGTATTTTGTAACTTGCATAGTAATACAGTATGACTGTGTAAATGTGCATGATTAAAAACAATTCAGTGAAAACAAATTAAATTTACATTTAATGAAAAATATTAATTTAAACCATTAAAACAAACGAAAACAAAAATACAATACATAAAATAGCTTATAAGAACCTTTTTAGAATGAAAAGATTGCACACTTTTGTGATTACAAAATGATTTCAAAATCTTTAAAAGTAAAACATAACTTATTATTTATTGGAATGTGGAAGAACATAATATTGTTTCTCATTATTGCTTACGTAATAAAAACTCGATCACAATGAGTTTAAAAAATTTAACAATATAAAAATTTCTTTAAGTAGATATAACAAATGGAATGGTATTGATTGCATTTACAGTAATTTCAATCTAACGTCCTAAAAAATTATTCTTTGTTAGTTACAGAGGTACAGAGGTACAGATGCTTGGAACGTCGTCTTTCAATTCAATGAATTTTCTTTAATGGCAAAAGGGTTGGGATTTCTTTCTTACACTTAACAGTTTCTAAGTTTGGAATTGGAACTATCTTAAAACTTTTCATGGCATTTGGTTCTACATTTACCAATGAGTGTGATTTAGAGGTTAGTTTTACAATGGTTGGTTCTTGGACAGCTCTTTTGATTGGAGTTAGAGAGATGGAACCGTAGGTTTGGGTTAGAGAGGAAGGGACATAAGCTGCATGGATCTTGGGACCATGATAGCTGAGTTTAGGAAGCTGGGTCAGACAGGTACCTGGAGACGATCCTGGAACCATAGAAACCAAAGCTGTGGGAGGTATGGACGTTCTTTTAACTTTCTGCAAAGTAATGCCGGAACTTAATCCCAACTCCTGCTTTATAATTTCAGCTGATACAGTAGAAGCAGTCTTCAATACATCAGTACCAGGAGCAGATTTTAATGAAGCAGCTGCAACAGGGTTTTTAGATCTAAGCGTAGAAACAGCAGAAACAGCAGTCTTCAGTACATCAGCACCAGGAGCAGATTTTAATGAAGCAGCTGAAACAGGGTTCTTAGATCTAGGCGTAGAAACAGCAGAAACAGCAGTCTTCAGTACATCAGCACCAGGAGCAGATTTTAATAAAGCAGCTGAAACAGGGTTCTTAGATCTTGGCGTAGATACACTAGAAACAGCAGTCTTCATAGTTTTAATTGATTTAGGAGACAAACTTGCCATTTTTATTCCTAAAGTAGGCTCAAGAACAGAAGTAGCAATTGTAGTTTCATGGATGTTTTCTAATGGTTTCTCTGAGAATCCTTTCTTCGGTTTATGTTTAGCTCCGTATACCAGGGGTTCTATGGAGCTGAGTTTAGGTTTAGCTCCGTATATTAGGGGTTCTATGAAGCTAGATTGATCTGAAGATTCGGTGAGCAATTCCTTGGGGAATTTTGCTTTACGGCGGTAGGTATGGTGTACTGTACGCATATGTTTATTCAGATCAGACAGTACCTAAACAAATGGTTTTATTCTTTACGTGTTAATAGTAATGTTAATAGCATTAGTAATAGTAGTGATAGTAATGATAATAATGATAATGATGATAATGATATTTTTATAAGTAATAATAATAATAATAATAATAATAATAATATTGATAATATTAGATTCTTTTATATAATACCTTATTGCATATATCACATTTTTTACGTAGTCCCTCGTGTACCATTGCTATATGAGGTTCTAGACTAGCCCTGAATAGTGAATATATGAGGTTTCAGACTAGCCCTGAATAGAGAATATATGAGGTTCCAGACTATCCCTGAATAGTGAATATGAGGTTCCAGACTAACCCTGAATAGTGAATATATGAGGTTCCAGACTAGCCCTGAATAGTGAATATATGAGGTTCCAGACTAGCCCTGAATAGTGAATATATGAGGTTCCAGACTAACCCTGAATAGTGAATAAAAAAAAAGGCTTAGATTTGTTTTAATTCTATGTGCTACTAAAAGGGAATCTATGGTGAATTGAACAAAAATACATTTTAAAGGGCTTGGAAAAGGGGGAGGATTTTTTATTCTGAAAATCATTATTAATTTATTTTATATCAAAACTAAATTTTGAATTTGTACCTTGTGGTAAACACCTTGCCGCAGTATGGACAGGGATCACTATAATCCTTTATACCATTATGGATTATCTTTATATGTCGGTCCAGATGTCCTGAAAATAAATTTTAAACTTCCAATATATTTTTCCATATTGTAGTTTTTCCTATTGTATAATCATCATTGACTATAATATGAGTATTTAAATCATAAACCTTTCTATTTTTATTTTTATTTTTTTTTATTTTTAAAATTTAAATCGAGAGATTTAGTTTTGAAAATGGGCCCTGGAAATTAATTGCTTTTTATTATCAGCTTGTTTAAGTATTTAAAAAACTAGTTTAAAATAAAAAGTAAGAATAAATGAGTACGCATGATTATATGATTAAAACTTAAGTGAGTAAAAATAAATGAAAATTAGTAAACACAAATTTTGAAAGAAATCAAATGAGTACTCATGAGTACACAATACACATGAGTACTTTAGAGTAAAAATGTGTGTACGAATGAATGTAAATAAGTGCAAATGAGTGCTAGTAAGTGTAAATGAGAATGAATATATTCATATGGGGACAATACGGTCAATACTAATAAGCAGACAAGTTTTGTGAATTTTACCTTTTTTGCTGAATACTTTACTGCATTGTGGGCAGGTTGCAGGTTTATGGATTTGTATATTCAAGTGAACCTGAAATATTTTTGATGAAACTAGTGTGTACTTTATCATTAATGCTAACTTAATTACAAAATTTATAGAAATAAGTATCGTGTTATAAAGTTGAATCAGACATATATTATAGCCCTGTCCTATAAAGTTTAGTTGGTTTCCAGATTTTTGCCAAAAATTAGGATATTTCTAATTTAAGATTTTTAATTTAAATATGAAATTACAATGGAAATTAACTCTTTTTCTTTATGGTTTGCAAGAAAAGTTCTAGATATAACCATGATATATCAAAAGGCAAGTAAACAAATATTTCATAAAATTTACCTACAACACGTCAATGTCTTTTATGTATCAATATCATTCGATATTGTTTCTAAAATTTACACCCCTACCACCAACTCTTTTTTTCTAATCCCGATAAAAGACAACCCAATGTCGTAGACTATAGATATGAATTCTGTCAGATCAAACAATCTAAGTTTGAAATATCATTAAGGTTCAAATCATCATGTTGCTAAAATAAAAGGATACGAAAAATGTTAGTTTGTAGCAAAGACACCATTCATTTAGACATATTTCCCAGAGAATACCTGTTTGTAAATCTATTTAGATAATAAAAAAATGAATTTGGGTCTTTTAGGTTCATTTAGCGAAAACACTAAGGAAATATTAGCTATAGGTTTTGTCCATTCTGGACCCAAGGATCACATCTTGGAGCAATCAGATAAACTTAGTTGTGTTCACAACTACAGCCACGAAAAAGGGGGAATTATGAGCATTTTGCAAAAAGGTGAACTGTCATTTTAAGATCTTATCTTAAAGAATAGGGAAGCTTAAAACTTGAACCCCATTGGGCCACTACACTAATGTTAACATCACCTGTTCTATATGTCTGTTGAGAGTGCACTTCTTACTAAAAACATTAGCACAATGTGGGCAGATAATACCATCAATATTATGACACTTTTTCATGTGATAACTCAGGTCAACAACCTCCTGAATATAGTTTAATCAATCAATCAAATCCGCTGTCAATAAATCTATAAATTTATATAAAAATCTATAAATTTATTATTCAATTGACTGATCATCATTTAACTAATATTTTAGCTATTATTTAATTTTTATCTTATATAATTGATTAGTCAATAAATCGATAATTTAAACCGCCAATCAGCTGATTAATTAACAAATCAATATATCAATTCATGTAAAAATGTGTCAGATAATTATTTGGATAATCAATAAATTAATCTATCGGTCAATCAATTAATCTATTTATCAATCAATCTTTGACAAATACCTATTTAACTAATCAATCAATTTAACTAATCAATTAATCAATAAACCAAGTAATTAATCATCTAATTTATCAAACTTTAAATTATCTTATAGTTTCCTAAATAAACAACATAGAATGCTTAGGTTAAACTCAGTAATTCAATAATTCGTCAGAAAATATTGAATCGAAAAAATCAATCGATCAAATAAATTTGTGCTACATACACAAGTATAAATTATTCTAAAATTATGGTAGAAACAATTAGTGCATATTATTATTTTTCTGTTAAAAAAATAAAATATAATCTAAAAAGGACCAGCACTAATGGATTTATCATTAATTGCAAAAAAAACAGAATAAAACGAAAACGCAAAACATTAAAATATATATTTGCAATAATTTTTCAAATTGTGTGTTTTCAGAAATGAGAGTTACCGAAGTCCGGTTAGGGTTTCCAATCTAGAATTTGTGCACGAAAATCGTGCAATAATTGCGCAAAGATTTTCTTACGTTTCGATTAAAAATTGTACGAAATTTGATATAATTTCGCATTGATGCGCAAAAGATATTTCTCGCAATTCATGAAGAAAATCTTGGTTTTTGCGCATTTCGTTATTCCTGATATTTCGTTATTTCGAGCTACTTCGTTATTTCGAGCTATTTCGTTAAATTTCGAGAAACAATTCCAGGAAATGAATGAATCCTGAATTAAACCAAGATGAGTAACAAACAAACAGACATCCAAACATGAGAAATGTATTCATATCTATATAGATTAATACATACATGAGACGCACATCTAGTGCCCCTTTTTTAGTGTTTTTTCAAAACATATTTATCATAAATTTTTTTTAAGAACATTACAAACATTTCTACCGTGTCAAACTGTAGAAAATGATAATAGTTAAATTGTTGTTCATGAATAAAATACTGCACATATGAAACTACTTCACATCATACTGTCCAAATATTTAAATCTTTTATATATTTGAGCAATAAGTCATGAAAAAAATATTACTTATTTTCATGCGCAAAATCATGCAAAAATTATGACTTTTATTATGTATTCATTCGCAATTTTGTGCAAAAAAATTATTTATTTCGAATGAATGCGCAATTTCGTGTTTAGTTAAACCCTAATTCCGGTTAAAATTGGTTTTCAGGGTTTCAGGAATTCTTTCTTGCATACAACTGAACAAGAGCAAAAAACAAAATTAAAAGTGGTTTGCGGATTTATGCTGCGGAGAGAATGAGCGGGTACAATTAGTTATAAAGATAGAAAATGAGTATATCTTTCTTACAGTTACTCCGGCAAAGGTTACGAACATGCTACTTATTAAATGAGTTTCTGTTTAAACACTGTTAGGTACTTTCCCAAGGGCGCAATTTCCCGAGCATCAACTTCCTAAGAGTTTTGCCCAAGTGGTAACATCCCAAACTCCCGATCGGAAACTTTCCAAGTCTGTTCTTGCTACACTGCATTACAGCGCTTGGCCCCTGGTCTGTTCTAGCTCCAGCACTCCGCCCACTAGCCTATCCTAGCCGCGGTAGTCGACCCACTGCTATCCCAACTAAACAGCAGCTCTCGGCTACATTGCAACCTTCGGCGTCTTAGAAGGCCTAACATAACCCTAAATAAACATTTGGGAAGTTGACGCTAGCGAAAATGTCATTTAGGATTAAGCGCTTGGAGAAAGTACCTAACCTAGCACCCTTTGAATAATAAAACCCACTAACCTGGTTACACTGAGGGCAGGGGCGAGGTTGCTGTTGATCAGCTACATGAACCTTGAGACGGTGAAGGTTCAGTGAGGTTTTTGTTGGGAATTTTTTCCTACAATCTGGGCAGGTTTGCTGAATTCCGGCTTTAGAGCCGGTCATCTTCTGGGGGTTAGGGTATTCAAGCCGTAGCTCAGTCTGAAGATAACAAAACTATTAACATAATAACTAAAAAAACAGCTTGAATACATCTAGTTAAAGAAAACATAATAATCCTACATTTTGTCTCTCAAAACATAAAGCATAAACCTCAAAATAAAAATTATACTTTGTATAAAAATTCCCAAAAAACTTTGCAAAAAAACTAAATTAAACTTTTTTAGGTATTATCTACTGTATGTTTATACTACATACCATATCTTTATTTTTAATTAATATTATTATTTCAATATTGATTTAATTAACTACCTTATGCACATTTAGTACGTGTTGTTTATAGACATCAAGGTTACCCATGTCCTTCATACAGTATTTACAGTTCAACTTAGTTGAACTTTCATGCACGCTTTTCACATGACGTTTTAGCTGCATAGATCCGGGAAACAGTTTGTTGCATTTACTACAGGGAAGGTTTTGAAGGTCGTCGTCTGTAGTTTCAAGGCCGACAATTACACAGCTCAATGGGTCATCAAATACTAAGAAATTAAATGAATTTCTTACTGATTGTCCTGCTCATTTTGCATCATCGAAACGACAGAAATCAAAAGAAATACAAAAAAAGTTTTACAAAGGTTTATCGACATTTTTTAAGGATGTGGGAGGTGAATGACTACTTCATAATAACAACCAAGAAAAATACAATGAGCATAAAACAGAAGACGACATTTAAAAACTTATTTACCGTCGTCTGAATCATCAATGAACAGTTTGTCTGCATCCTCCTCCTCCTCCCACTCCTCCTCATCCATCTCTTCATCTAGCTCCTGATCCTCGTCATCAAAACCTTCTATATCTCTCGGATCAATGTAAACAACCTAGATATGAAAACAAACAAACTAATTTAAGTAAACAAACATAAATTCATGCTAACTTTGGGTGCTATTTTATGAGACAAAAATAAATAAATAAAATTAAAGAGAGACAAGAAAATTAATAAAAAAATAAATAAAAAAATAATTTACATCGAAAATACCAAAATAAAGAACTCATGGATCGTATATTACAGAAAGGGGATGGTGGAGTTGGCACATTTGATGTAGGGGGGGGGGGCCTGCCTTCATTTTTGGTTCAAATCTTCCAATTTTTTGGATGCACGCCTAATTAGGGTTCGAAATTCCTATAATAAAATCAAATTGAACTTTAATGACCTCTAATGACCTCTAATGACCTCTNTTTTATGAGACAAAAATAAATAAATAAAATTAAAGAGAGACAAGAAAATTAATAAAAAAATAAATAAAAAAATAGTTTACATCGAAAATACCAAAATAAAGAACTCATGGGTCGTATATTACAGAAATTTGTCCAGGGGGGTTATATTTGCAGTCCATTTATCCCCCACCCCCCTGAATGCGCCCCTGAAAGAACTATCAGAAGTAATTTGTAAACAATAAAGTTGGCAAACAGTAAGTACAAATGGTAAAATACCATATTATTCAGAACAGACAATTAAACTCTAATAAGCGTATATTCAATTGAAATACTAGGTGTGGCTCTTTCCGTGTGCATCGTCTCTTTGTACTGGAAACCATATCACAAAAAAAAAAGTTTGGCGGATTTAATATTACATTATATAATATTTTTTCGTGGACATTACAATTTTTGGAGGCAAATTTTTGTAATAAATCTTTCTTGGGGTCATGTGAAGTCCCACATAAAGTTTGGGTCCCATCGGTTCAGCCGTTTTGGCATTTATTGGCTGCAAACGGACAGCTACAGACAGACAAGCAAAGTATATTTAATATTTATAGAAGAAACAAATATTCTATTGATTTTTACACATAATTAGAGTCGTACCTGTGAATTATAATCCTCCTCAGATTCATCTTTAGCTGACGTCTCATTATTATTCCACTCCATTTTAGCCTTAATTGATCATTTTTTAAAAAGATTTATTAAAAAAAAGAAGACTTTTTCATCATATTTTGAATTAATTGATTAATCCACCAACAAATTTTAAATTAAACAAAAACACAAATGTGTAATGAAAGCTGAATAATTATTTTGGTTAATAAAAGTTAAAGAACACTTAAAAAAAATATTAGTTAAAATATTTATTTCTGTCTACGTGACAAACTCCCAAGGGCTGCACCTGTACTAGTCTACACTTTCACCCTATGGGAGTGTTAAACTACCTGTTGCAACTTCAGGGTCAACTTTTATTTTAAAATAAAAAAAAATATTTTTTTAAAAATCTGTTTCATCATTTTATTTTTTATTTAAAAACTGATTATATTTTTTTATTTTTTAAAGTATATTTATCCCGGTACGCGCGTAGAGGAAGATAATGCCGCGGAGTTCTGTATTTTTCCACAGGTCGTTAGGGAGCACCCAGCCTTATCTTTATATACACTATACAGGTGGATACTGGATAGGGAGGTAGATAGATAGATACATGAATAAAGAGATAGATAGATAGATTATCAGTAAAATAGAAAGATAATGGATAGTGATAGAGAATTAAACTTTAAGTTACAGTTAGTTTAGCTTGATCACTGTTAAACGCTGATATGGATTAGGAATTTAGGAAACTAAATTAAAGGGAGTGACCGGCTATGTAAGGTAGTTGAACTGAGTATGCAGTGTTGGGGAAAACTTCTTTCGAATTCATTTGAGACATATTAAACTTTTTAAAGATATGTAAATCCTGAGTTTGAGCGCAAATTCGACGTTCAACATACCTTTCTTAGCTGTCACTCCCTTGGGATAGCTTAACATGCCTCAAAATATGCTAATTTTCTAGAATGGCTACAGCCTGATTTCTCTGATTCTTGTGTGGGAAATAGATCGCCGTGAAGGGCTACACATGATCATTTGTCCAGTTAAACACATTTAACATTATGATACTTTTTGTTTGAATTTTTTAAAAATGTTTGTAAGAGATGGATTTTTTTGAAGTTTTGTTATAAGTAGAGACATCTATCTTGCTTTTTAATTATGATTATATTATAGAATATAATTTGTTTCGATTAATAAAAATATTGACAGAAAAATTCTTTAAGAAATTTACGGACAGTAATACATAGCCGTTTTGCACTGCAATGCAAAACCATAATATCGGACGTAATTGTGTTAAGAGTTTTTTATTCAAAACAGGGAACATTCTTCTCTTTGTCCGGACAACCAAAAGTCCAAATAGAAATTTTGCTAAATTTAAACAATGAATAAGTTTTTGCAGCTTGCATCAAACTTGCAAGATTGCAAAATTTAACAAGAAATTCTATAAAATCTTAAATTCAAATTAAAGTTTGTAAGTAAAAAGTTTGAAGTTTGTTCAATCCCAGCAACAACAAAAAAAGAACCACATTATTAAGGAGTCTTTAAATTAGTATTCACATTTAAATTGTAAAATCTGTAAAAGTATCATGGACCAAATTCAATAATAATATAAAATTAAGTAGAGATAGCTAGGGGGAAAATGGGAGATGATAATCTAAAATTGACTCAATCCTGAGAAAAGCGGTCTGCCCCCCCCCACACTTATATGTAGATATATATATAAGATAGATAGAAATTAGTAAGGTTGCACATTTTAAAAAGGGGTCGCTAGCTAGTTTATTACCTATAATTTACTCAAATTTATATTCCAGACATGTCTGGGTACCCAACGAATAATTTCTTTATACTCCTTGAATTAAATATTTCCTTAGGTTAGAATGTTTGCATATTCTGCTCAGGGTTGATTGAACCTACGTGCTAAACTCTAAAGGAAAGAATACAGAGACCTTATTTAAACATTAAAGGGACTGTTTGCTGAAAAATTAAGGAATTTAAAGAATATTTTATTATTTTTAATTTAACCAACCCTTAAAGGGATTGTTTGCTAAACAGTAAAGGAATGAAGACATGATTTCTTTTAATTGAATTAAAGGATATCTTGTCCAGCTGTAAGGAAAGAAAACAGAAATTATTTCATTTATTAAGGGTCTGTTTGATAATAAGTGAAAAATGGAATTGATACGAAGATCATCTCCTCAACAGTGAAGAACGAAAGTATTCTCAGCGATCATTTTCTTTATTCTAAAGGAACATCATGCAGTATAACACTTGTCTTGTCACAAACGAAAATTTTCATCACTATATCTTACAATCTGATGAACCTACATATTTGGGATTAAAAACATTGAATTTTGAAATATTTGGGATTAAAACATTGAATTTTGAAATATGACACCATCAGGTTGCAAAGGGATTGCAAATTTTGCGTTTAATTCAGTTTCTTTATCCATGCAAGAAATAAGAATTGGTATAAGTTTGCATTCGATTTCTTTTATTGTCCCCCCTTTAGAGTCAAGATAAAGCTAAAGATAGATATCCCAGTTCTGTAAGTTTAAATGTAGAGTCCGAATTTCATATGATAATATCTATTATAACAGATAAAGTTTCAATAGAGAGAATATAAGATGTGTTCACCATAAACCTGTCTTTTTGTAGAAGTATAAAGAATAATAATATCATGTACCGTGACACATTTGTGACTCCTGAGTGCCATAAATTGTCTGTAGAATATAAATAGTTTCCCCACCCTTCAGTAAATCATAGTTTCTACATATACTCAAATCGAATAGAATAGATGATAATAGATTTAAAGATTATAGAAGAGAAGACAATATAGTAGAAGTTAATAAAATAGAAGATTAGAGAAGAGAAGATAATAAAATTGAAGATTGGAGAATAGAAGAAAATATAGTCGAAGTTAATAAAATAGAATATTATAGAAGAGAAGATAACAAAAAGAAGATTGTAGAATAGAAGATCATATAACAGAAGAAAATATAATATAAGATCATAGAACAGAAGATTATAGAATATAAGACAATAGAATATAGATGATAATAGAATAGAAGATTATATAGATGAAAGATCATAAAATAGAAAATAATCGAAAAGAACATAATATAATAGAAGATTTGATAGATAAAAGATCATAGAATAGAAAATAATAGAAAAAAACATAACAGAATAGAAGATTATATAGATAAAAGATCATAGAATAGAAAATAATAGAAAAGAACATAACAGAATAGAAGATTATAGAATCGAACATAATAGAGTAGAACTCAGCAGAAGCTTAAATAAAGATTTTCTAGAGAGGGGGGAGGGGGTGTTAATTTGAACGTTTTGTGCGCGTAGCGTTCCGATTTTTTAACCCCCCCCCCCCCTAGAAAATGTTTAACACTCCTAAACCATGTACAACCTCATTCATGATGTATATCAAATTGTCAAATTGGCTGGGTTTGATTCAAATTTCCCAATCATTTCTGGTGTTAACAAACTCTGTCAAATAAAAGGCTTCCTTTATCACCTTTCTTAATTTATACCCTAAAGGTTGTCCACTATAAATGGAGATTTTTTAAACAGCTTATGAAATAGCAAATCCACCAATACGAATAATCCGCAATGATCAGCCACCTGTGCCGTGGGAAAAAAATATTTGCAGTGTTTTTTCAGAATATTCATCATAAAGAAGATTAAGGAGTGGACGAAAATAATGTAGAAGATAATATAACAGAAGATTATAAAAGAGAAGATTATAGAATAGAAGATTATAGAATAGAAGATTATAGAATAGAAAATCATAGAATAGAGGATTATAGAATTGAAGATTATAGAATAGAAGATAATATAAAAGAAGTTAAGAAGATCATAGAATAGAAGATTATAGAAGAGAAGATAATAAAAAAGAAGATTATTGAATAGAAGATTAAAGAATAAAAAATAATAGAATAGATAGAAGAGAAGATAATAAAAAAGAAGATTATTGAATAGAAGATTAAAGAATAAAAAATAATAGAATAGAAGAAAATAAAAAAGAAGATTATAGAATAAAGAATAATATAATAGAATATAATAGAAAAGAAGATAATCAAAAGAAGATAATATGATATAATAGAATATCAAATTATAAAAGATCATAGAATAGAAGAGATATAAAATAGAAGACAAAAAATAGAAGATAATAGAACACAAGATAATAGTAAAGAAGATAAAATAACGGAATATTACAGAATAGATGATAATAAAATAAAAGATAATAGAACAGAAGATAACATAATAAAAGATAATAAAACAGAATTATTGAGCATAATAGAATAGAAGATTAAAGAATAAAAGATAATGGAATAGAAGATAATAGAATAGAAGATAATAAAAAAGAAGATAAGATAATAGAGGAAAGGAAAACAGAAAAGAAGATAATAGAATAGAAGACAACAAAATGTTATAAAAAAAATAAAAGAGAACAGAATAGAAGGTTAAGATTTAATTAAACATATTTGAGTTTGTGGCAAATGCTCAGTTTCTTTGAAACTTCAAATATAAATTTCACACTATAGCTAAAGCTAGTTATTTTTAGATTAAGACCAAATTCGTTCAGGATATACCAAATTCTTAAATTCACATAAATATCAGTTTTATTTAAGCAATATCTTACAAAAAATATATTTCTAACTAAAATTCACTAAAAATATTTTCAATTCTTCCTTCAAAAAAAAAAATACTAAAATGTCTCAAATATTTATATTTGCGTGTTTAATAAATCTGTTAAAGGGACTGTACACGTAAATTTAAGTAACTTATATTTGAAAAGGGAAATGTTCGATTCACAACAGCATGCACTTTTAACATTTATCTAAGCAACGAGGAAGATATGAAATTGAGGAAGATATGAAATCGATATGAAGTCGAATTCTGTCAATTTCCCTTTTGTCTCTACTGCATTTGTAAATCTGCAGGACACTTTTATAGAGAGATTATAATAGATAAGATTTTTTTTGACCCTGCGAATGTTTAAAGGTCACCTCTATTGATTCGAGCATTTCTCTCTTTGTGAAAATTCACTTGGAATTACACAGCCCCTTTTAATGTATTCTTTTCTACCACGTTGAAAATACTCC